TCCTGGGATCATGACCTGAGCTAAGGCAAATGCTTAACCGACTGAGCCTCAGGTGCCCCTAAGCCAGTGATTCTTAACCTCAGTTGCACAGTAGGGCCACCTGAGGAGCTTTTCAAAAATACCAATGCTTGGGGCGGTTGAGTGTTTGACTCTTGATCTCAGCTCCGGTCTTGATCTCAGGGTCCTGGCTTCAGGCCCTGTGTTGGAATCTACACTGGGCCTGGAGCCTACTTCAACAACAAAACCCAATGCTTATTTCTCTCCCTGCCCCAGCTTGGGTTGGTCTGGAGCAGAAACAGGCACAGATTCTAATGTCCCCCAGGTGATCCTCTGCATAGCCACAGCTGAGAACCACAGCTCTTAAGTTCACCTATAGAACTGGGAAGATAATACCCACCTCATAGAGCTGTTTTAAGAATTAGGTGGTATAACTTAGAGAGTTACACATAGTTCCCAGCAAATGGGAAGGCACTGGACAAATGGTAGTTACTGTTATAATCATCTTCGACCCAGAGTTCAGTGCTACACCGTCAGGTCATAAAAGGACAGTGAGAACATCAAAAACTAATGATGTAATATATGGTGATTAACATAACAATAAAAAATTAAAAAAAAAAGGACAGTGAGAACTTTAGGGCTCCTTAGGTTATGGCTCTGAAGTGGCAAGGCCATGCTCATTATAGCTCTTGTCAACCAGAGTTTTACTGTTTGTAGGTCTTTGCACATGCTATCTGCTGTAACCCTCTCTCTGCTTGAGGATCTCACCTCTAACAGTGTGGTGACTGGTGGTACAGGCTTTGAAGTCAGGTGGCTTGGATTTAAACCTCAGTCTGGACACTTAGACTTGGGTGATCCTGGGCACAAGACCTAAGCCTCAGTTTCCTCACCTGTAAAATGGGGATACTTATCATATAGAAGTAACATAAGGCCTATAAAGCTCTATGCTGTGTGATAGGTGCTCCAAAAATGTGGACATTACTCGCATTCATTGCTTTCACTGCTTGTAAAGTCATTTTTTTTTTTAAGCTTTTATTTATTTGACAGAGACACAGTGAGAGAGGGAACACAAGCAGGGGGAGTGGGAGAGGGAGAAGCAGGCTTCCCGCTGAGCAGGGAGCCCGATGTGGGGCTCGATCCCAGGACCCTGGGATCACGACCTGAGCCAAAGGCAGACTTTCAATGACCGAGCCACCCAGGCGCCCTGTAAAGTCATTCCTGATGATTCCACTGCACTCTTCTCTTAAGTAAGAATTTATATTTGTGGGCGCCTGGGTGGCTCAGTTGGTTAAGCGACTGCCTTCGGCTCAGGTCATGATCCTGGATTTCCAGGATTGAGTCCCGCATCAGGCTCCCTGCTCAGCAGGGAGTCTGCTTCTCCCTCTGATCCCTCCCCCCTCTCTCATGTGCTCTCTCTCATTCTCTCAAATAAAATAAATAAAATCTTTAAAAAAAATTTATATTTGTTTGGTGCTTAATACACTGGTCTGTTCTCATACTAGAAACTCTCAGACTTTTAGATTTGACCTGTGTCCTAAGACTTTTTAATTTGTTGAGAATGCTGTTTTTATGCTAAACTCAATAGGTCAGTTAGTGTTGTGGCTCTTCTGGGAAGATATTTTGGACTAAGCGCCAATTTAGATGGTCAATAAGGAGCTCCTGTTTTCTGTAATAGACCCACAAAGCTCTCCATCAATGAATCTTATCCTGTCTCAGAAAGCACGTTTAAGTAGAATGAAAAAGGTCTTAGGATCTACATTGGTTTGGTTCTGGTTTCTACTTTCACATGAACTTATAATATTGCCAGATCTCCAATTAAGTGAGAAAACTGCATCTGGGTGGTTTCCGTGGCCAGTCCTTCCCCTAGTTTCATGGTCCTCCTCTTTTCCTGCCTTCCTGTCATTTAAGAAACATTTCAGTTTTAAGTTCAGCATAAATGTTTTACTGGTTTTCTAGTTCTTAATACCCCATGCTTTACTGTTTCCCTGTTTTACTAAGTCTTCTTGAATGTTTTACTGTTTGATTTTTTAAAGAAATGCTTTCTTTTGAACTTATAAATAAGTACTTAAGAAAAAGGACTGTGAAGACAGAGTTGGCAGTTTAAAAGACATTTCCCTCTATCTATTTCCTTTGAAGTTTGTTCCTGCCTCTAAATCTCTAAAATTAGGCACTTAGAAGCTTTGGGGGAAATGTGTGAGGAAAAAAGGAAAGGGTGAAGGGTGGAATTTTTAATTTGACTTATTCTCTTCCAGAAAGTGCTTTACAAGTAAAAGCGTTATGTTTATATGCTCATACATATTTAGATATATGTATACACGTAGACAAGATTGCTTTTTAAAAAGTGAGTTTCTGGAACTCAGGATTATGTAAATAATAAAATGCATCTCCCACCTACTGCTTCTTGAACCTGCCGTGTTGCATGTAAAAGTAGAGAATTATATATTTTTAGCATGTATTTGTCAACACTGTCAACTCGGAAGAATCAGTAAGATGTAGTAATTCTTACTCGTCACACAAATAACTGTACGTGAAAACATTTGATTAATCTTTTACAATTCACATGGTACTTTTCAGAAATCTTAATATTTCATGACTCTAGTGAAGGGTTACTATGATCTTACAGAGATGGAAGGAGGCTCAGTGAAGATAAGTGACTGAAGGTCACAAAGTCACTAAGTAGAACTGCATCCCAATCCGTGACTTTGAAATCCCAAATCCAGTGTTTTACTGTGCAACATCGAAATCGAGGGCAAAATCTCCCATGCACACCAAACATTTGAGGGAAAATACAAATAGTTTTGGTCTTGACCAGAAAAAAGTCCAGTTAAACATCTGGCTAGCCGACACCTGCAGTTAAAGATTTTTTTTTCCTGACTGCACCGAGTCCTCGTCTTAAATGTCAATTGCTGGTGTCCTGACACAAGTTGCTTTTGTGGCATCAAGAACTGCCCCCTCCCTCATCCTCCATGTTCCATCTGGTCCACCATGTTCAGTCCAGGCTACTTTAAGTTAGGTAGCATTTGCTGTGTCAGATGGGTTTCAGGGTGCAGCTTATATACAAATAAATTTTAGTTGGAGTCTGATTTTCAGCAGTGGCATGCTAATCTACTGCTGATTTGTCCACAAACTTCCCTATCAACCAGGGCTAAGGCTCCTCGCAGGTTCAGCGGCCATCTGCAAACCAACACACGGATTCTTTGTTTTCTGACTAGGTCAGCTATTGGTACCTGATGCAGTTTCTCTTTAAAATATCATGCTAATTCTTTGAAGCTCCTCTCACATTCAGGCCTTCTCCACATGTTGAAGATGGTGTAACTGGGTTGTTCTACACTGTGTTCAGGCTGAGAGCCTGTTTCTCAGCCCGATGTCCTGGCTTCATCATCCACCCACCTGGCTCAGCTGCACTGGCCAAGAGTAACAGAAAGTGTGCACTCTTCTGAGCAAATCCCTGGGATCTTGCCAATGCCTTACAACACACAACCGTCCTTCACACAATCTTGGGGACTCAGCCTATTTGTGTTCTCTATAACTAGCATGTGGGAGGCACAGGGCAAGTGCTCAGGAAAAAATTCTAAATGAATGGATTCTTGGTCCCCTGCTCAAGTTACATCTGTCAGACACAAATTGCCCATTTTTAAGTAGTTTTTAAGACTATAATATGGGCCCTAGCCCTACCATCTGGATCATGTATCTTTAAAAATACAATTTATCAAAACATATGTAATGGGATTCTTACTGATTCAGGAATTATTTGCAGGGCAATTATTGCCAGTACTTCTAATGTTGCAGAGAAAGAAAATCATAGCTTCAGGAGCTGCTATATATACTCTTGCCTGTGCACTTTGCTCTTTTCCTGAGAAGCAAAAATGGGGTTAAAAACTACTTTAGCAGGACAATGTGCGTACAGTTAACACTACCGTACTATATGCTTAAAGGTGGTTAAAATGGTAAATTTTACAACAGAAAAAAAGTACTTTAAAAAATTTACTAGACAGTGCTAGATTTTTGGAACTTGAAAAAAAAAATCAGAGAAGTCCTCACAACCTCATTGGAAACTCACTGTAAGAATACACTTAAATGAGCAGCCAGCTATTTGTGTGTATACAAGAGTCACAAGAGTCCTCTCTCAAAGAAATAACACTTCACACACTGGCTAAGTTGGTTAAGTCCAAGTTTTTTCACAGAAATTGCAAAGCCCTGGGGCACCTGGGTGGCATAGTCAATTAAGCATCTGACTCTTGATATTAGCTCAGGTCATGATCTCAGGGTTGTGGGACTAAGCCCCACCTCAAGCCCCGCATTGGACTCTGTGCTCAGCATGGAGTCTGCTTGTCCCTATCTCTCTGCTGCACATGCACGCTCTCTTTCTCAAATACATAAAATCTTAAAAAAAAAACAACAAAAAAAAGAACTTGGAAAGATTTTCATGGTCTGGCTTCTGTTTCTGGGTGAAACCCATACAGTCAGTGCTCTTTTTTCCATTTCTCGAACAGGATGCTTTCTTGTGCTTCACACTTTCCCCATCATTTTTATCTTTAAAAAAAAACTTAATTATTAAATTTTTCTTATTTTTAAGTAATTTCTATACCCAGTGTAGGGCTTGAACTCACAACCCTGAGATCAAGAGTCACATGCTCCTCCAACTGAGCCAAACAGTCGCCCCAATGATTTTGTGTTATTTTTTTAAGCTCTATGCTCAACGTGGAGCTTGAACTCACAACCCCAAGATCAAGTCACGTGCCGTACTGACTGAGCCAACCAGGCACACCTTAATTTTAAGCAAACTCTACACCATGTGTAGGGCTTGAACTCATAACTCCGAGACCAAGAGTCACATGCTTTACTGACTGAGCCAGCCAGGCGCCCCTTCTTCTCTTACTCATCCTGCAGAGCTCAGCTTAAATGCCATCTCTTTACGGAGGCCTTCTTTAAACTCCTTGAGGTTTGGGTCTCTTGCCATCTCTGGACCGAGCCATTGATTGATCCACACTCTTGCAGAAGTCTGGATTTTCCCTTTGTAGCATTTAATACAATTTTACTTCTGTAATGATACTAGTCTTTCCCACAAGCCTGAAAGTTCCATGAGGTAGGGACTGTTTTTTCTTGCTAACCATGATATTATTAGGGCCCAGCAGGTACTCACTCAGTACTCTCTTAACAGGTAGATACTTTTCCCACAAATCTATCTTAGTAGATACTCTCCAAGAGTATGTGGAGAGGTACATGAAGTTTGTGAGCTCGGTGGTGGAGACAGTGGTTGAACAGCCAGAGGGATGGAAGAGTTCAGGGCTGGTGTAGTGGGGAAGCAAGAAGGGATCCTGGGGAGACTAAAGGATGCTCATTTAAGTTCCCCATGTCCCCAACATCCCATTCCCATACCAAATGAGTCATTCTTCAATCACCTATGCATTCATTTCTTTAGAGAAAGAGGTAAACATCAGAGTATGAAACCAAGGCCAAAATAACTTTGCAGAATTAGACTGTGTCCAGGAAACCAGTCACAATTCAACTGGACTGGACTTCAACACAGAAATGATTGTGTTCCTCCAGATAATCTTCAATTTCGGAAGCTTACATTCCTTGAATATGTGGAAAGATAAATACACCTTCTTCTGCTGTCAGTTGCTGAGAAAGAACTTTGTTCTCCTGATGGACCAACACTATTTCTTTTTTGCTGCTCTTTTCCCTTCTCCTTTCTTTGGTTTCCCCTTCCCACGAAGCTTCTTTAGACGCAACTGCTCATCCCTGAAGTCCTGGTGCTCGTCTCTGAGTGGAGAAAGAAAAAATAATTAGCCTGTATTTTTACCTGATGGGAACAGCACACCATTCTAGCACTCTTCCCTCAGGCTGCTCCGGTTATCAGTCCCTGACTTCTCAGGGCACATGCTCAGCTTGGTGAACAGAGAGGACAGAGAGTCCCCAACATACACATGGGCTGTGTTCCAAAAGTTCATTTCTAAGTCACAGTGTCCCCTCACAGAAACAATGCCACAAGCGACTAAAATTCCCAGGCCGGCCCCTATAAACCAAAGCAACAATGATACAATGCTGATAATTACCCCAAATTTCCCTATAATGCTAACATTGAACATAGGGAAACAGAAAGTGGGTCTAAGCTTGAAGAGCTACACAGAGACCCTGAGAGTCCCAGGAATTAGCACCTCCTATGAGGGGAAGAGGTCTGAAGAAAGCTGCCTTAATGGCCATGGATAATCCACACAAAAAGGCTGCTGGGGAAAGGCTCAGGTAGAAGGAAGCCAAATCAACAGACACTCTAGAGATCAAGGCAGCCAGGGCTGTTTGTACATATGGATGGGGTGTAAGCTGAAGACTGCCTGTACTCTACAGAAATGACTGCATTCTAAGATTAAATACCTAAAACAGTATCGCATTTAAATATGTAAGGTTTGGAGCCCATTTCAACCTGGGTTCAAAATCACAGCTCGTCTACCACTTAGTAACCGTGTGACCTGGGATAAGTCATTTTCCCTGTTTTTTTTTTAAGATTTTATTTATTTATTTGAGAGAGAATGAGATAGAGAGAGAGAGCATGAGAGGGGGGAGGGTCAGAGGGAGCAGCAGACTCCTTGCTGAGCAGGGAGCCCGATGTGGGACTCGATCCCGGAGCCCCAGGATCATGACCTGAGCCGAAGGCAGTGGCTTAACCAACTGGGCCACCCAGGCGCCCCTCCCTCTCTGTATCTTAGTTTCCTTACCTGTCAAGTGTGGATAATAATGGCATACAAATTAAATATAAGAGGGGGTTGTGCTGGGCCCAATTGTTAACTCCTTAGGTAGTTTTAAAATAGACTGGTTTTGTAGGGTACACTGTTCCATTCCATGAACATGATGGATACAGCTGACCTCTTCAGAAGCAGCTATGATTGTCCCCAAATCATCTATTCTCAACAGAGCAGCCAGAGTAATTCTTCTAAATTATAAGCGAGATCATGTTGCTCCTCTGTTCACAGGCCTACAGACGGTTCCCCACTTTACCCAGAGCAAAAGCCAAGACCTTGTCCTGGCCCTCAGAGCCCTTCATGATCTGCCTGGGGCCTTCTGCCTGGGGCCCTACCACTCTCTCGGTCGCCTGTGCTACTCCTGGAACACGCCAAGAGAACTCCCACCTCAGGGCCTTTGCTCTGCTCTTGCCTCTGCTCAGCAGTTCTTCCCCAGATCCCACTTGTCCCACTCACTACAAGTCTCTGCTAAGACCTCATCTTCTCAAAGAGGCTGACCTTGACTGTTCTGTTTAATACTGTGACCCGTCCTCTCCCCGCCCACCATGTGCCCTATATTCTTCATCCTGCTCAGGTGGCTTTACTATTTTTTCCCCACAGCACACTCAACTTTATAGCATACCACATCTTTTACTCATCCTGTATGTTTGTTCTCCTCTTCTTCCTTCCCTCCTTCCCATCAACCCTCAGCCAGAAGGAAAGCTCCAAAGCCAGGGGTCTTTGTCTCTGATGATATAGCCCAAGCACCTGTGTGCCTGAGTGACTGAATGAGTCGGTGTTTGGGAGAACCTGTGCCTTCCTCCCTCATTTGCAGGTCTTTGAGTAAAATTTTCTTTACTGAAGATTTATCTAGTTTCATCCTGCCTGATGCCACAGGAGGCTTTCCATTAGAGGCACCATTTACCGTAACTAGTGACTAAATACATGAAAATCATTGTGCTTTTCCATGGATAACTAAATGCTAAGTATTTTCTCCCCGTCCCCAAAGATAGTCAAGGTTTTATTTTTCAAACAAATGGAGAGTGGCACCAAACAGGTAAATTAAAATAGCTGAATATGATTTTGTTATGGGTTATAGTTTTCTACTCAGGAGATCTGCCTTCCAATGGTATTTTATTTTGGGTCATAATAAAATTAATTTTTATTTTCTGAGCTCAGACTAATAGCAAGGGAGAAAGCCCCAGAGCAATTCCAGAAATTCAAAATATGTCATGGATTATAATCTCTATTATAATATATTAACTACGAAAATCTATTTTGCTCACTGCTGTTCCCCTGGTGCCCATCTTAAGTGTCTGTACATGGAAGGTATTTAAAAATACACCCACTGGATGGATGAATGTACCAGCTTTTATTTTTTTATTTATTTTTTAAAGATTTTATTTATTTATTTGAGAGAGAATGAGAGACAGAGAGCATGAGAGGGAAGAGGTTCAGAGGGAGAAGCAGACTCCCTGATCAGCAGGGAGCCCGATGTGGGACTCGATCCCGGGACTCCAGGATCATGACCTGAGCCAAAGGCAGTCGCTTAACCAACTGAGCCACCCAGGCGCCCTGTACCAGCTTTTAGCTACCTGGAATGAACTATTAATTTTACTATATTAGAGTGAATAGTCCCAAATTAACTTCTGTATTACTGTCCTAAGACAAGTCCAATTAAACACATTAAATTTTCTTAAAAAGTAGATTTATTTATTTTTAAAAGATTTTATTTTTAAGTAACTTCTACACCCAACATAGGGCTCAAACTGACAACCCTGAGATCAAGAGTCACTGAGCCAGCTGGGCACCCAAAAAGTAGATTTACTTTAACTTTACACAATTACGCACTGTTTGAATTCTTTTATAATGATCATGTATCAGTTTGGTAATTAAGACTTTCTTTTAAAGAAAATGATCACACAGGTATTTGATCTTTTCTCTTTCTAGAGCAATACAAAGTCCTGAGCACCCACTTCCTATACATACACAAACATACAACACATGGTGGTAAGAGCCTGTGCGATCTACATATTACTCTTTTTTCTTTTAAGTAGGCTCCACACCCAGCGTGGAGCCCAATACGGGGCTTGAATTCACGACCCTGAGATCAAGACCTGAGTTGAGGTCAAGAGCCGGGTACTCAACTGACTGAGCTACTGAGGTGCCCTCGCATATTACTCTTAAAGGTGAATTACAACTTGGGCGCCTGGGTGGCTCAGTTGGTTAAGCGACTGCCTTCGGCTCAGGTCAAGATCCTGGAGTCCCGGGATCGAGTCCCGCATCGGGCTCCCTGCTCAGCAAGGAGTCTGCTTCTCCCTCTGACCCTCTTCCCTCTCGTGCTCTCTATCTCTCATTCTCTCTCTCTCAAATAAATAAATAAAATCTTTAAAAAAAAAGGTGAATTACAACTTATTTAGACCAAAGTTACGTATCAAAAAGGGCACAAACTAAAAATGCCAGAAAAAGGTTGAAGGAAGTAAGAACTCCAACAAAACTGCCACTAGGAAAGAAAGGAGGCTCCTGTAAACTAGCTAGGAAGGAGACTGGCTTTGGGGCAGGGACTCTTCATCTGATCAATGAGAACCTGCTGCTCTGGCAGCCTGTAGGTAGGGGTTGGCTGGGGGGAGCTGGGGGTGGGGAGAGGTTTTCCTCTGCAGCATCTGGATCAGTTTTCCTCTGCATCCTTTAGAGTGCTCTTAAATTAATAAATAATTAAACATATCTGTAGCTCAGTATCTTGTCAATGTTAGTCCAGTTTTAGACACAATTAAAATATGTCTTCCAAAATGTGGTTTCCTTTTTTGTTTCTTTCAGTGTGCCCGTTATGAGTATTTTAAAAGCCTTTCCCCCTAAAAACTATGCTTTTTGAGCCATCTGGGCACTATTATAAGAACCACAAAACTGTTAAAGATAAAAAGCCTAACTTTTTCCTTTTCTGATCTACTAGAAAAATCTCTTAACAGGTTACTCTCTGTTTTTTGCCATTACCTATAGAGGCCAAGAAAACGTAGAGTCCCCATGAGCGCAAAATAAGTGTTGTGATTTGGATACCAGTCATAAGTCTCCTTCCTCTTGGCCAGAGGCTGCTCACTGAACAGTTTCACCACTTTCATGGATTTGGAATCAGTAGGCCTGGCCACTTCACCGAACAGCCGGGCACTCAGACGAGTCATGCGCAAGGCATATTCTGAAAGTGAAGACATTTCTTGAGCAGCAAGGAGCAAGAGTCCCTACAGAAAATGAGAAGATAAACAGGTTAGTGTATGAAATTCCATGATTATCTAAAGAACACTTTAGAAAATAAAAACAGCAAGCCACGTGTGGATCAGTCATGTGGCTGGCAGGACATGCCTTGGAGTTGAGAAATATCCACAGTCCAAATGGTGGTTTCCTTTGCTTGCTTTACATTTCTAATTTCTACATTTGATGTTCCCATACTACTATCTTGCTGTGCTGCCCTTTTTACAGTGAACCATTTTGTTATTTACTGATAGTCAGTTTACCTATTTGTAGGCTAGATGAGGACAGACAAATGAGTTATCCAACCACAGCATTATTATACCTTCAGAAAACACCCACCTCAGCAATCTGTAGAATAAAAATGCTGACTGCTTGCCATCTGAAGGTTTAATCATGACAGAGAAATAATTATCCTGTTGTCTTTATTATCAGCCCTTTGAACACTGTTCTCCTCAAGGGCTCCAGATGGCTCTGAGAACTGCTAATGAGTTATGAGGTCATTTAGCCTCTAGGTTGCTGGACTGAATTCTGCTTAGAGACTGAGAGCCATTTGGGAAAAACAAAACAGAGATAGTAGTCTTACAGAAATAAACTCAACAGCTCTTAAGATTCATTTTATTCCTGAATAGAAGGATTTATGGGTTATAAGGTTATCTGTCTTATCTTCCATCTTATATATTCTGCTTTAATGAATACTAAGTTCTTATTAGCTGAAAACAGTAACTTTTTCTTTAGAGGCACAAGCACAGAATGTTGAAATAGGTCTAAGGATGATATCTGTAGTATGCAGAAATTACAGCTAAAATACATCAAAAATTATATAGGTGATACAGAAAAATCAAGAACGCTGCTGATGGAATAACTGTCTCATTCCACTCCAGACCAGATGTAGAGGTTAATGCTAGCAGAATATACTAGTTTATGTGAAATTTTGTAGTGAGATGAGAATCTTTGCTAAGAGACTGTCCTGGGGGGCAGTTCAGTGGAGACGAAAAAGAGTTAACATCTAAACAGAAAAAAGGTATAAACTTATCCTGAAAAAACAATGGGAGGAAAAAAAAAACCAAACCCAAAAAACCCAACCATCCTAGGGCACCTGGCTGGTGCAGTCAGTAGAGCACAAGACTCTTGATCTTGGTCGGGGTCATGAGTTCAAGTCCCACGTTGGGCACAGAGTTTACTTAAATAAGTAAATCTTAAAAAAAAAAAAAATCCTCCTAAACAAGAATGGGGCCAAATTTCAAAATAACTCTTGCAAGTAAAAAGAACCAAACCCAAAACCTGTATTTAAATTAAGGAATTTTTCATGTCCAAATCGAGATTCACTGAAAGAGCAGAGGCTGACCTCAAACCAATTGCAGAACGCCAATCTCAAACCATTTACCAAGGTCAACACCCACCAAATGGGCCAACAGTGCCATCTGAAGGCCAGCAATGGGAGAACTGTCGGATCCAGGGTCTCTTCCCTGCCCCTCCAACCTGGGAATCACCTGCAAACCTTCTTCTTCCTTTTCCTTTCAGCACTCCCGTTCTCAGATTTGCTTCTCACTCAACTCTTGGTCCATTGTGTGGATAGGAATGGGTTGGGTTGGGTTGTTAGGGGTAGGGTTATATTTTCATCAGTGAGAAAAGAAAGGCATTAACAGTTTAATGTATAAATAGGAAATAGTAACAAATCAGTGCTATACACCTCTAAAGGCCTTGCAAATGCCCACGAGTTGCCTTCAGAGGCTCCAGTTTCTTTGCATGCTTTACCTTTTCTCTTCCTTCAGTTGAATTATCTTTTTTCCATACATTAGATTAAAAAAAAAAAACGGTTTCTTAATCAACTTTGCTTTGTTTTGCTTAATTGCTGAAATGGAATCCGAATTGATTTCTGTTGCAAGTGCACAGTATTTCCACAGTCAGTTATCTGGTGGCCAGGGAACTATTGTTTTGTTACAATGTTCTCAAATATGTTCCAAATTCCATCACTTTATTTTTAAATGAAGAGGCAGCATGGAGTCCTGAGGCCTAGGTTTGCATCCTGGCTCTGCCATTTATTAGCTGGGTTAAAGTCACTTATTTTCTAAATCTGAGTTTCCCTTTTGGAAAACAAAGCTTACAGGACTACTGTGAGAAATAAGTTAAAGCTGTGGCACTCAGTAAATGGTAACTTAAAAAAAAAAGAAAAAACCTAAACATGTTTTTAAGTTTGGTGCTCATATGATCTAGCTGGACACAGTTATTTCTTGTCTTTATTTTTTATTTTTAAAAGATTTTATTTATTTGAGAAAGAGAGCATGAGCAGGGGGGAGGGGCAGAGGGAGAGGGACAAGCAGACTCCCTGCTGAGTGGGGAGCCCGACATGGGGCTCTATCCTAGGACCCTGAGATCATGACCCTGTGCCAAAGTCAGACACTTAACTGACTGAACCACCCAGGCGCCTGTTTTTTTACCGTTTTATTTTTAAGCAATCTCTGCACCTAACACGGTGCTTAAACTCACAACCCTGAGATCAAGAGCTGCATGTTCCACCGACCGTGCCAGCCAGGCACCCCTATTCCTTGTCCTCATTTAATCATGCAAAGGAGATACATACTCCATGCAGTTAAACCTATACCTCCCTGGAATGACATCCTCACTTATAAAAACTGACAGCCAGAGAAACACAGGGGAGGGGACCAGCAGCTTGGTAACTTGACAGGCAGCAAGGAGGAAGGGACTCCTTAGAGTGGTCACTGAAGCCATCACAGGATGCTGTTATCTCCAGGCCCACTTTGGAATGTAGCAAATTACTGGGACACATAAATGGTAAGTAATGAAGTCTCATTAGAATCCACTGGGACATGGCTATATCACAAAATCCAAGTCTCAAAACTTCTATGATGAAGAAAGGGAATAAGCCTCTTCAAAACTGAATCCCTTACTAGAAACAAAGATCCATTTGCTAAACAGAAGAAAACTGAAGGGGCACCTGGGTGGCTCAGTCAGTTAAGCATCTGCCTTGGGCTCAGGTCATGATCCCAGAGTCCTGGGATTGAGCCCCACATCTGGCTCCTGGCTCAGCGGGCAGCCTGCTTCTCCCTCTGCCTGCCTCTACCTCTGCTCGTGCTCGCTCTCTCTTTGTATCTCTGTGTCTCAAATGAATAAATAAAATCTTAAAAAAAAGAAGAAGAAAACTGAAAATGATTATAACAATTATCAATTACTGCTTTGTAGTCTCCTTCCAGAGACCAGACATATGCCTCTGGTGAAGAATGGCATAGGAGCTTGGTATATATATATATTTTTTAACATAGACTAAAACAGCTGAACAGTTCTGTTGTCCATAAATACCGGTCCTAAGACCGGCAGATTGTCATTTTTTACTACCTTAATTTTTTTAATTGGAAAGCCTTACTTAGGATTTTTCAGGACCCTAGTATGCCTCCTTACAAAATCTTTCAATTTTATCTTAAAAAATAAAAGAAATATTATGTAAAAGACATTAAAGTAAAAGGCAAAAAACTTACATGTCAGTTCGATTTTTATTGTACAAAATAGTCACCTAAAAACGTCATTTTTCCTTAAAGGTGATCTAAAGAAAACAGTACCATGAGGAATAATTAACTGGAGTGGAAAATGCTAATCAAAAATAAATAAAAAATTATATACACACACATACATATTTTCAAATGTGCGGGAGCAAGACATGTTAAGCCCACACAAGAAAATTCCCATATTTTTACTTTGGCATAAAAGGGCAAGTTTCTTTGATCTTTCTGATAGGTTTGATGCATTTAAAAGGTCAGGTTTTCAATAACTGGCTTTGGATTAGTTTGCCTTTTTTTCTTTGAAAAGGGCAGACTGATGTGCAGGAGTTCTTAACCTGGCTTTCCCTTAGCGTGGCGAATTCCCTTGGTAGGCCGAAATATGTGTGTGCGCGCGCGCCCCCGTGTGCAAATTCTGCTGGGGGAGCTTTCTCCAGTTTCTCAAGAAACCTCCGGTTGGTGGAGAGCACCAGCTCTGGGATCTTGCCTCGGCGTTTTGATGGCCATGTCATGTTTGCAGTAGTTGGCATTCTTTGCCCCGGTTTTCTCATCTACGACCTCAGAGCAGTTACACAACCTCACTGCGTTGAGGCTGACAGGCAAAACTCACGACACAGTGGGGTTGCCCTAATAATCATCAGGCCTCAGGGAACCCGTTCTGCACACGTATTTCACAAAAAAACAATCTAAACACGATGCTTTATTTTTAAAGTCTGGTACCAGTTGTTTCACTGGGTCGTAGAGACGTGACCGGCTCTGAACGTTATGTCCGCTTTATTAGTTCAACAAAAACGCCTCCAATCCCCTGCAACTGACTGGATCACACTTGCCTGTGATGGAAGCAGGTATCAAGTCAACCGAGGCTTGCATCGGTAGGATATTTCGGGGGGAAAATTTTTTTTTTTTTTAGTTTACTTTATAATCTCTACACCCAAGGTGCGGCTCCAAGACCCCGAGGTCGAGTCGCACACTCTACCCACTGAGCCAGCCAGCACCCGCATATATTTTTCTTTCAAATGGCAGAATCTGCATCCCCCCACACAAAGCCACGGTGCAGAAACGCTGTCTGATGAGCTGAGAAACTGAGGCTTGCACGCGACCTAATCAGGAAGAGAGTAACTGCGCCGGAGAGGAAACTACGCTAGCGTCCTTCGTTTGGTAAATTCCCCAATTTACGCAGGAAAAGGCCAACTTGTTTGTAGGATGGTGTGAAACCTCCGAGCTAGTTAATAATGAAATCGACTCATCTTACTTTTGGCGACTGGAGAAGGTTGGAAACCCTCGCAGGACCTCTCTAACCACCGCCCGAATCTCACTACAGACCCCCGCGAAGCTCCGGGACAATCTTACCTACTCGCGACCTTCCTCTCCCGAGCGCTCGTCTCCCGGAAGGCCCGCCCCCGGCCGGGCTCCAAGCTCCCGCGGGAATCTGCAACGGAGAGCAGTGGAGAAACGGAAGCTCGCGGCTAGAGGGGAGCCCTAGTGAACCCGGAACTACTAGCCTCTCTTTTGGAGGTCTCAAAGGTCATACCTGGCACCTGCGCAGTGAGGGTAGAGAGTCTTGTTTGCGGAGTGGAGGCGGTGGTTTAGGGAGAAAGATTGGCTTTAGTGGAAGGTCTTGCAGCGTTCGCTAAATTTATTTTGTTGGAAAATGCCTACAGAGCTGCCCTCCAAACAATGGTTGGGCGCGTGCCGCGTAGTGGAGGATGAAATGCACTTTATTTTTTCTGTTCCTTCCGCTTTCTGTGTGTTTTCATTCTCTTTTCATCCAGCCGAGGCCTTGACGTGCTCCAAGGGCATTGCTTGACTGGGGCCTGAAGCGTCTTCTGGCCCCTCTGGGATGCCATTTTCCCTCTCTTTGCATTTATCCACTCTTCCTCTACTGGTCGAGTAGTATCATCTGTAGGAGGCCATTCTTGATACCCCTTTGCTGGATTAGGGCGCCAATTGGAGCTGCCTGTGTATCTCCCCTGGTGGCCCGGAAGCTTCTTCAGGGAATAGGGATGGGATTTTTATCTGACTCCTCAGTAGTGACCTAGATACTGCTTGGCAGACAGTAGAAATACTCTTTTAAGTATATCCCTCCATACTAAATGGGCTCTCAAGCTCGCCACATCTCATAGGCATTGTATGAAGCATTTATTGACTGATAGTAGGGATGAAAACATTTTCTGAGCATTATCCAAGGACTTTCATAAATACTCTAAAATGTACCCTGGAATTAAGGCACATCAGCAGCAAACCATATACCCAGAGCGTATTCTATTGACACTCTCTTCCCTCCTGTAGAATTGTGTTATTTTTTGACATTTTTAAAAAGGGAAAAAGAAAAAAGCCCCAAATGGAATCATTTCTCTCTACCCACAACCCCCCATAGCAAACCAAGACTTAATCAGTTTAAAACTCCCAGGAACTTGACCTTTTAACAGTCAATCTGAAATTTCCTGATCACTAGTGAGGTAAACTGCATGATAAAAAGCTTGCCTTCTCGGGGTGCTTGGGTGGCTCAGTTGGCTCGGGTCATGATACCAAGTTCCTGGGATAGAGCCCATGTTGGGCTCCCTTCTGAGTAGGGAGTCTGCCTTTCTCTCTCCCTCTGCCCCTTCCCCTGTTCGAGAGCTCGTGCTCTCTCTCTCAAATGAATAAATAAAATCTTAGGGCAAAAAAAACAACTTGCCTTCCCAGTAGTTAGTAAATATAAGATCCTACATCAACCAAAAAAGTCTATGACTTCCGTGGCCAGAAAATTCTATCACAGATTTATTGATGAAGAAACAGAATACCAAAGTCATTATTTTATTTATTTATTTTTTAAATATTTCATTTATTTATTTATTTATTTATTTATTTATTTATTTATTTGAGAGAGAGCACAAGCAGGGGGAGCAGCAGGCAGAGATGGAGGAGAGGGAGAAGCCGGCTTCCTGATGAGCAGGGAGCCCCGATGCAGGGCTCTATCCCAGGATCCTGGGATCATGATCTGAGCGGAAGGCAGATGCCCCAACTGACTGAGCCACCCAGGCAGCCCCAAAGTCATTATTTTATAGTGAAAGCTGACATAAAGGAGTTCATAGCTTTGAAAGCTGACACGTGGTTTCACGTGATAATGAATATCTTACCACACTTCTGGAGGCTATAGAGGTCGGAGGGGGAGGTCTTACCTGATACATTATAACCTGCAGCCCTTGTGGTGTTTTGAACTGGCCAACAGTAGGGTATAGAGGCTACTCCTATAGGTTCCTTATATGTAATTTCT